CTTTTTTGTATCAAAAATAGGAACGTAGACTGTTTATTTTTCCAGTAATTCTTTTAACCAATTTTTATGAGTGATGAAACTTTCAGATGCAGAAAAAATGGACGAGCTATACCATAATTTGTTCCCTTTTGCTTTATTTTTTATTATCAAAATAAAATAACAAAGAAACATAAAAATGTCATATCATTGTTAATAGTATGTATAGTTAATAGTTGTAGACTTTTTTAGATACAAAATATATCTGTGTGTGTATGTTTTTGTTTATTTTTTTTTAACAATATCGAGGGAATTTTGGAATTTTTTGAAAAATGCAATATTGCTAGATATTTTAACTAATAAAAGAAAAAAAAAGGGACAAGGATTTTTGTAGATATTTTAAGTTCCTGTTGTGGGTTTAGAACGTAGACCCAACTTTTTACCTTTTAATTTAGTAATTTGAAACATATCTTAAAAACTGCAATTGTTATAAAAAAAGTAAGAGGTGTTTTAAGGGTATAACCTGTCTGAATCTTCATCATGTTGGTTTGATATATTGGATACAAAGGATGAGTTGATTCGCTGGGTCAGAAGACAGGATTGTCCTAAACTGCTTGCTATTGGCTGCAAAGGACATTAAAACATTAAAATTGGTTTCAAAACAATCTTTTAAAATATATTCCAATAACAGTGTTATTGTCATGGAAAACGCAAGCTACGACAGACGTCTGCTACTCAAAGCACCAATCGCATCAAGTTCAAAAAAAGAAATCCAGGAATATTTGTTAGAAAATGATATTTATTTTTAAAAAGGCAACTCTGGGTGTCTTAAATTAATACGCAATTAAAAAACAGTATGAGATAATTTGATTGAACACGCACAATGTAATTAATGTAATGTAATGTAATGACGAATTTGATAGTGAAACAGAATTAGATTCAGACATTTAGAATAAAAATGTAATTATGTATAGATATTCCTAGCTATGAATTTATTGTTTATATTTAATGTCATTGTTTTTTCTTGGTGTAATTAAGACTAACTAAACAAAAAAAATATATTATTATGAAAAAAAACCTTTGAGAATCCGCTCCTAATGTTTTGTGCTTTAATACCTTTAATACCGTCGGCAGGTAACTTCCTTAATTACGGGCAAAAGCTAGCACGATGAAGATTGAGACAGACTACCTAACAATAATAAAACACATCAGGTTTCAGCGAAATACGCGAAAAGTGACCGATTTATAAATAAAAACGGTACTTTTTGAATAAAACTTTATTTAAAGCTCTGCATTATTATCACCGTTCTTTTCCAATCACCCAGTATAGGAAAACACTTTTTCTTCTCCAAAAATTGTAATTTGAATTGGACGGAAAAAATATCTATAAAAAAATGTTTTAATGTTTCTCAAATAAGGCCGCCATCCCCAATTTCTCCAAGTACAGACTCCATTGGTTAACGTTATGCGGCAGTTACACAGCCAGACGCAGACCGGGCCTAAAGCTTGAAACGTGTCTTGCCCCCGCGTTTAATTGGTCGTTAATAATGAATGAATTTTTAAACGGTAGCGGCGCAGATAAGCGGCTTATTGCGACAATTTTCGTCAGAAATAACAAGTTCGCGGTCCAATTAGCTTTACTTCGGTAAAAATTAATACGCACCCACGTTTAAAAAACTGTTTGTTTGTTAATAATACTAATACTTTCCTAAAGCCACCCCGTCTGGCGGTAACAAGAAAGTCCCGATTTAGAACGGGCGCGCCGCGCGAGCGGTTTCGTTTAAAGCCTGGGACAAACGGAAAGTTTTTTTTTTTGTTTTTTTCCGCACGTAATTCGCGCGATTGGATAAATGTCACGAACGCCCGCCTCCCCACGCCCCAACCGAATGTACGCCAAATATAAATGCAAAAAGAGGATTCGGGGGTATACAAGATAACAGGGCCGGTTAAATTCGATGAAATTCATGTGTTTGTATGTCAACCAAGTTAAAATCAAAACGTAAATAATACAAAAATTAAGTTATTTGTTTCAAAAATTATTAAATTTGTTAACATATATATATATATATATCAAGCAAAACACTATCAATTTTCTGACATATAAGCCTTTTTTGGTAAATCGGCAAAAATAGGGAATTTGTATATAATTTCAAAGGGTGCCTTGACTGACACATATTGGTCGATGTTGGGAGTGTGGAAGAGGGTCCATGACTGTTTTATTGCTAGTTCCAGCAAGGGAGTTGTCGGTGAAAACAAGGTTCGGGTTGTAGCCTCTCTAGAATGAGGGTCGTGCCATTGTCTTCGGCACACCTCTCTAGGAGTTCTCCATCCCCGTTCGTGTCAAGATATCCCCAAGTTGTACCGTGACTATTGAAGTCTCCTATTAGCACATGGGGTTGGCTAAGATGTTGGGGGAATAAAAATCTCTCGTTCGTTGGTTTGTATATTGAGGATATCGTTATGTTTCCCAGGTTAATCGTGATCAGCTCTTTGTTGTTCAGTGCCGTGGCAAGTACATTAGTTACTTTGGTTCCTGATTTTACAAATATTACGCTACCATATTGGTCATGGGGACATTCTTTCACTAGCGTCATACCTGGTATGTTTGGGCGGCGTTGTGTTGGACCTCTTTGTGTCTCCTTGTGTCTCACATGAGTTCTCTTTACATAGGTTGGAGATTAAGTCTTGCTTAGTATTTAAAATGCCTTCAACATTGACAAATACCCAAAACCAAGACCCAGGGGTGCCAATCTATTAATGTATTTCTAGATCCAAGTTAACTGGAGATCATTATATGCAACTCTTAGAGCATCAAATATATAGAAGATTTACCCCTTAATATATCTGATTATGTCGCAGCAAGACGGTGCCCCTCCTCACAATGTTGTGAAAGTAAAAAAATTTCTTAACATGGAATATCTCCTGGGTTGGATAGGGAACGTGGTTTACAGCCAATCGACTAAAATTGAATGGGGATAAAACTCACTTGTTAGTGTTTTCAACAAATGTAAACATTTCGAAAGGAAAATGTTCCAAGTTGTTGGGTGTGTTCTTGGATGTAAGGCTCTTTTTGAAGGACCATATTGATTATTTACTAAGGTGCCTCTTCAGTGTCATTTTTTGTTAAGACGATTGAAAAACCTAATCGGAAAGGATTATCTAGTCTCGAGCTACTATGCTCTTTTTCATTCAATTTTTTCATATGCTATTATACTGTGTATGCAAAAAAGTGCGATCAGAATTATTTCCAACGCAGGATATAGGGACCACTGTCAACCGCTGTTTCAGAATCTTGGGGTTATGCCATTGCCATCGGTGTACATGTATCATGCGGTATTAGAAATTGATAACTCAAAAACATGTTATCAGTTGACTCAGATAATCATAAATACCCTACTTCCTCCTCAAATTTGCTTTTTTAGAGACACTTAACGTATATTTAGTTGAATGCAAGATATTTGCATCACATTAATATGAAAACAATGTTTCCTTGGTCTGTGGGAAACCCTATAGACAAAACGGGTGAATAACTTTAGTTTCGCCAAATTGTAAATAAATGTGGTAGAGAAGGAAATAACTAAAATGAAAGCATTTAGTTTTCCTAAAGTGCCTTTTAGTCCACCTCTCATAATTTAATTTTGGTAGTAGCTATAAATCTCCAACTTTTATCCCACTTCAGCGGCCCTGTGTCATTAATGATTAAAAAGTTACCTACACAATCGCATTGAAAAAGTGGCAACCCTGGATATTAGCATTTTTAACGGTATTTTTATACGTACGCCTTAAAACGCGCACGACATTTTTATGTGATTTACAGCTATATTAAAATTTTATTTGGGCATTTTGCGATTTTGGTGTCGAAAAATCTGACGTCACCGATGTCGGACTAAGATATGGGGACTCGAATTAACCTCTTCTCATTTCCCTTTCGAGAACAATTTCAGTAGTGGAAGTGTGTAGGCTAAATTAGCACTTCCGACTGAAATTACCACAATTTGCAAGTAATGATCTTCGCATTACCACTAATTTCCTCTATCCTAATTACTTTAATAGTCCATTATGCAACAAGTTGCGAAGCGCAGCAGAACTAGTGCGTATTAGTAAATGAGTGACTTAAAAAGTTTAGCTGTTTGACAATCGGACAAACGTCAAAGTTCAAGCCGTGTGGTGTGGCGAAGAAAATGAATTCAATTCCTGATATTTAGTTTTAGAAGTTTGCATTTTTCGTTTCCTGTCATATTTGCACAAACCCTAACGGTGTACCTCAACTTCGTCTGCTTCCCACCCAAACACTTTTCTCCTCTATATTCAAAATAGTTCAGCACAGCTTGCTAACATCTTCTGCTTCATCAGAAATTGTTCCGACGATTATTAAAACGTTCGAGCCAACCTGTAGAACAACTAAAATCCTTACTCTGTAATCTCCTGGCTTGCTCCTCAATTTTCGATCGCAGAACTGGACCACTTTTTGTAATATTCTCGGATCTTCGATTTTGAAACCATCGTACAATAACTTTATTTACATCTGAAAGTACAGGATTTCTCATTTTTTTTAATACTGTGCGATATACAGTGACCAGTAACTTGCTTTCTTGATCTTTTCGCGATTGTAGATATTGTTAATTTTGCCAACTGCTTTTGACTAGTGATTTACAGTTAAAGACTTGCGCCGATCCGCCATTTTAACCATAACCTCAAAAAATCACAACCACCGCTTGATAATACGGTTTGAGCGTACACTTGTACTTTATAACCAGAACAATAATGAAAATATTGTACTTTATAACCGTAGTAGAACTTATAAGAGTATTTTGGGCGGACCATTAAAATATGTAGGTAATACCCGGAAGTACGTTATATCCCGTGTACGTTATGAACGGAGTTTAATGTACAAATCAAAAACCCTGCTTAAGATATATCTTGACCAAGCGTTAAGGATATGGAAGCAAAAATGCAGAAATATGGGCATTCCCCTTAACAATGCAAACATATACACCCTAAGCTTCGCAGATGACCAAGTCATAATGGCGCAAGACTACGATGATGTAGAACACATGATGCGAAAACTGATCGAAGAATACAAGAAATGGGGGTTGGAAGTAAACTTACCAAAGGCAAAGTATATGTGTATCGGTGGAGCACAACGCGACCTCCTCTTAGAGGATGGTCAGGCCATCAAAAGCTGCGAAACCTACAAATACCTGGGAATGTACATATCCAGCCGCGGGACGTTAGACTACGCCATCAAAGAACGAAATAATCAAGGAAGAAAACACCTTCTTGTGGGACCAAAATTCACGAGACAAAACAAACACCTAATATACAATACGATCATTAAAAGCATAGTCACGTACAGCAGTGAAGTCTGGCCACTAAAAGAAAGAACCATGAGAACGCTGGAGGCAATAGAGATGGACTTTTGGAGAAGAGCGGCAGGAAGGCCAAGAACTGAAAGAGTCCCAAACGAAGCAATTCGCACAACCATAAAGGTGGGCCACACGATTTCAGATGAAATAAGAACAAAACAGTTAAAGTGGTACGGTCACGTAAAAGAATGGAAGAACAGCGACTGCCTAAACAAATACTCACCTGGACACCTACAGGAAGAAGGAAGAGGGGAAGACCGAAAAAGAGCTGGAGAGAGGGCATCGATAGTGAAATACAATGGAGACGACTGGACGAGGACCTGTGGAGGGACAGAGATCAATGGAGAATGGGAATCGGACGACGTCGGAGGACGTTTTAAAAACCTATATGAATATGCTTAATGAATGCTTATGAATATGCTTAAATTACGGAATTGAAGGCTGAAAAATATTAACCGAGCAAAACTTTCGAGTTAGATGCCGAAATTTACAGACAAAACCATTATCTTTAAAAACTTTTGGTTCTAAGTGGGAATTTTAAGGTGGAATTTTGAGTTGATACATGGAATTTGTCCATGTTCGTCTTCGCCTGCTCGAGGCAGGCGAAACTCTAACCTCACACCTCGTTCTGGAGAGGTATTCTACCGCAAGCCCTTCCATTCTGTGGAATTTCTAGAGGGTCTTGCCTAGTCTTCGTCGTCTTTCATTTTCACAGTCGAAGAATTATCAGGTAAATTATAGTTTCCGCGACATCGATTTTGGCGCGAGTGTTGAGATAGCGGGAGAGGAATTATTGTATGTCGTCGTTTACGCGTAATGTTTACACATCCCCTTTAACTTGAAATCGGGCTCCATTAAACATCTCCCGGCGAGCGATAAATTAGCGGTTGCGCTTTAAAGTCGTTACGGATGAGGTACTTAGCGCGTCAGGGGCGCACTAACGAATTTAAACGTAAAATGACGCAAAACTTACGAGCCGCTATTTTGGGAGACGCCATCACATTTTGTTTCTAAATATTTCAATGTGTAACGTTTCCGTTACTCAGACACAGTAAGTTTATCGAAAGACTTACTGGGATTGGGATTTACGACCCGCCGCATTGTGGACCAAATTACAAAATTGCACAATTTTGTAATTTGGATGGCTTTGAACTTAAAGTCGACAGTTTTTGTTAGTTACTCGTAAAACTGTATAGAAAAGTTTGTGAAACTATGAAAACTGTAGTTTCTATGTGATAATAAAGAAAGCTACTTGCCACTAAACGAAACCATTAACCCTTTTAGCCAGCAAAATCAAGAAGCTCAATAGGAATGAGCCCTTTCCTGTTTCATTTTCTTAGGTTTGTAGAGGATTTAAGTTAATTGTTATTGTTATTGACGAAGTTGTTGATATTGACTATCACGCTTAAGAAAATAAAACAAAGATATTTTAATCTGGTATGCTTTCAGAGCAAATGCTCTCAATATAAAATCCCTAGCGGAATTTCGTATTAAGTTAGCACTATTTATAGATACGAGGGCAGTGCCAAAATTTCCCGCCCTGAATATGAAAAAAACAAGGTAGAGTAACACTTTTTTATTATTTCTTAATTCCTACACTTATTACGTCTCTTTATTGACAACTCAATCCCTTTAAAAATATTCTTTTAGTTTGTCTGCAAAATGAGCTAAAACAGCCTCTTTTAAGTCAACTTCCTCGTTAAACCGCCGTCCACGCAAGTCCTATTTCAAATATACCATATCTGGACTATAAGGAGGATGATCTTATCTGTTGGAAAACACACTCTAAAATGGCAGCTTGTGCAACACCAGCAGTATGGACGGGTGCATTATCGTGCAAAAGACGCCTCTGGTCAGTTTTTCTCGATGTTTTACAAGTATTTACATTGGTATTAGTTTCTTTAAAATCTATCAAAAAAGAATTCCTTCACAATTCCCAAAAGATCGTGGCCATCACCTTTTTTGTTGACTGGCAGACTCAAAATTTTCTTGGAGGTGCTTCACCCTTACGACGCCACTCCATAGGGTCATAATAGAGAACCATAGTTTCATCTCCCGTCACAATAGTTTCTATCACAGGCTTCGGTTCCGACCCCAGAGTCCCAAAAAAGTCCTAGCGCACTCGACACGACGTTGTTTTTGATTATCCGAAAGGTTTTTAGGAACCCATCTCGCACTAACCTTATGCATACCTAAATGATCATGCAGCATTCGACGAACACTTACTCAATACCACCTCTTCTAAAATCACAACAATATCTTCCGTTATGACGTCCACTGGTCTCCCAGTTCTTGAATTATCTTCAAGGGACTCCTGCCCCATTCGAAAACGTTTTGCCCATTCTTTCACTACAGAATACGAAGGAGAACTTTGGCCGTACACACCATCCAGCCTTTCTTTAATAATTTTAGGTGCTAACCCTTCTTTTATAAAAAACTTTATGACTGCTCTATACTCAATTTGCGTTATTTGCTACATTTTTTCGGACACGTCTTGTTTAAAATGCTGTCAATAAAAAACTATTTGACGCAAGATTTCAATTTTTTTTTCGCAGCCTACTAAGATACATATTTAAAAGAAGACACTTATGTTACAACTTTGAGTCATTTCCAAATACGTATGCTTACATTTTAGTTATTTATTTTTGAAAATCTAGTGTCAATCGAAAAAGAAAAACAAGATATTCTTGTTTTTTTTTTAAATCACCCTGTAGATAAACCGAAAAACGTGTTCCTATTGCTTTTTCTAAATAAACAAAATCATATTTGTTTTCTATTAAGTAACTAATTAGCATTTTTCCAGTATTCTGAGGAGAATCCGGCCCGTTGGGCGCCGTCTCGAACTGGAACGGAGAGTGTCCCTTTTATCTTTAACTAACGTTGCGAAAATAAACACTATCCGAATAATGCGACGCAAAATTGATTACGCATTTCTGTTTATAAATAAATATTCCCCGAAAAAGTCATAAAGGTTAACAACCACGCGTTGAATTCTTTAGACTCTGGGATAATTAGCATTATTCATTTTTTAACCTTTGACAGTGCCGGGGCCTATTTTTTCGGCGATAATGGTACTGTAATGAAATAAAAGTTTTTTCGATGACCCACCTAACTGCGGGCGTCCTATAAATAACCTGGAATAAAAAAAAGTGCATTGTTTTCTCTTTGAAATTTGAAAGTTACCTATCGATAACGGAATAGATATAACAGGCCTGGTTTTTCGAAAATGTTAACAAATAAGATTTGAAAAACTGTATTGAATCGCCCCCTGTAACTCTTGAGTTAGGGAAAAGCGAGTTGGAACGGCTAAAACTTTCGGCACGTCAACAATTTCCAGCCCAGCGGCAACTTTTAACGTTTGATCTTGCTTCTGGCATTCAAGAACGTTTTCGAAAGTTTGACGACAACAATAACTATTCAGGTTCTATTTATGTATAATGAAATTCAAGGTCATAATCTATTAATCTGTCGCATCTTTGTTAAAATACCTGAATGCAGGATCAAATCTGGATATACCATGTTGTGAAATTTTTCACTACCCTAGCTAGACTCTCCTAGTGTATTGATACGTTTATTTTTAAAACTATTGGTTCTATAAATTAAAAAATATTAGCTTATTAACAATTATTTCCTTTTTTATTGAGCTGAAAATGGAAATAATTGAGACAAATGTATGGAAATTTGATATCCTTCTCTTATATAAATAATTTACTCTGTGCGTAGTATTAAAGAAATATTGATTAATTAATATCAATTATTATAAAAATAATCGGCGGTTGGGGGGAGAGGATTTAGTGGGGCGCATAAGTCGATACCGACCGAGCAGGCACGAGCGTGGGCCCTTAACCAGTAAAACGCAGGCCCACCCATAATATTATATCTATAATGGTAAAAGTTTTGGCGGTATATAATTCCCTTCCCAATTTCTTTTCTGGATATACGCGTCGTTGAGGAACTTCACCGTAAAATAGGGATAAAGGCGGTCATAATCTTTTGTCGCCTCCCTCAGTTTGTCCCCTCTTCTTTAGCCGGTAATTGCTTCGATGACGTAAGCAACGAAGCGGATATTACAAAAAATACAGTTTCAAAACATGGGGGGGGGGGGGGGGGGGTAAAAATAATCAATTAAAATATTCAATAAAAAAACTAAAGGTAGCTTTTTAAAATGTTGGCATCTAATAAATTTTTTGAGCAGTCCCCGTATGCTTTAAATTTTCTGTATTTATAGCCCGCAGAGTTCAGAAGGAGGTAGCAACTTTTATTCTTATCTTATCTTATAATATCGTGATACTTTTTACAAAACTTCTCGATTCCTCCTGCGTCTGTTTTTGTTGAATCGAACTTGCTAACGTTTCGCCAATCATCCTGTTGGCTTCTTCAGACTTGACTGAAAGTTGCTCACATTTTATTCTGTACCTGCTTATATATTGTTTGAGGGGAGCGGAGCTAAATGAGGGGCATAAACACCTTCGTCTACAGGCCTGAGACGTGGTTAAGATTGTTTGGTTGTTTACAGATTTCTATAGACTCTTAGATTTTTCGTTGGTAGAAGAATTGATTAATAAAATTTTATATCCGGTTTCTTGATTGGACGAAAAATATCAAATAAGCTCAAACAACACGAAAGAGCCTTACGACTAAGACAAGTAAAGTCATCAGCTGTAGCCGAACACAATCAATAAAGCGAACATAAAAAAAATGAGTAGCGAAACGTCAGCAACTTCGACTTGAGCAAAAACCGACGCAGGAGGAATCCAAAAGCAGCCTGTGGAAGTTTCTTTGAAAAAAAAGTAATATCGTGGTTGAAAATTTGAATTATTGGAAAGAAAATCCTTATTATCAGAAAATAAATCTTCAACCTTTAGGCCTTGTATTTATACAATAACTTCACTTGCAACATTGAGTTCAGGTTCATTTTTCCTCAATATGACACAAACTAAACAAGATAAATCAAAACAATTCTAAATAAAATAATGATGATCAAGAAATGCCCAATTTTCTATCTTCTGTCAACTACCAAAGGCCCTCACTTTTGACCGAGGTAGAATTGAAAATCCAGGAGAAATTGAGAGTGCACAATTCCTATTCTGAAATGTCATTTTGTGAAAAACCAGTGGAATTTAGGAACCACAGTTCTTCTTTTTCCACCTTAAATGTTAGAATGGACAACTATTATTAAAAAATGACTCTTTGCGCAATGTTGAAGACGCTGAAGAGGCGTTTAACGTCAGCAAAGCGATCCATTTTTATTGTGAAACCAAAAACTTGTAAAGCCTTTTCGTTTGACTAGGTCAGTTTGCCAGCAGCTGACCGATGTGCTTCAACTAAAAGACACCTTTCACAAATAATTGACCTTTTTCTGGTTTGGGCCGCGACACGCAATAAATTTTCATAAAATGAGT